TGACTGTAACTGCAGCACACATGAAGTCTTCTTTCCAGAGCCTAATTCATTTCGTGCCATCGTCTTCACTGCCATCTCAAATCTGAGCCACCTGCTCATTTGGAATTCCGGACCCCGACTCACCCTTCTGAGTCGGAGTCTTGTGTTACGACCGACGGTCAAGCGACCAATCTTTCTTGGAATAAAGCACCCATCTGGGGCTTGCGACCCGATATTTATTACTGTCAGTTCCGGGTTTGTTAATGTGGGGCGCTCTCTCGAACGAGAAGACGGGTCTGTCGTTTATAATTCCTGCCGGTCCTCGCCAGTACAGTCATTCTCGGGTCCGAGTCCCGTGGAACTCCCCATATTTTACTCTCTCAGATTCGTGACTTCCCTTTTCGTCGTCTGCTACGACTCGCAGGGTCACGGTGGAGGTATTCAACCCCGCCTCCGACTCAACACAGCATCCTCCCTTGTACCTTCTGCTGATCCACGCTATGTACTGTTAGTTTCTCGGAACTCTAGCCGTGGTAGAGGGGTCATACCATCTTTCGCGGGGCTGGGAGATTACGTCAGCATGGGTACTACCAGTTTGGAATGTAGCGTCTTGGAGTGTGCTCAGGTGTATAGTAACTGTAACAGCGCGCGTTCATCCGCGCTGATGACTCATTCGTCTATCAGCAGTTACAGCAGCAATCTGTGAGGAATGTTGGGTCGGGTCAGCGGTGTTGCGAAGTTTCCTCCTTAACTGAACGCACTGTATACTGACATATATTTCTATGGTTTCGTTTCAGATTTCTGTTTCTAGTTTATTGTTTTTTTTTTCTGAAAGCCTGAAAAGCTAATTACTTTGAGAAACTGACAGTATTGAATTAATGACTTCCATGTTGATTTTAATAAGTCCTCTACCATTTACTGTTACCAGTTCATAAAGCGACGACTTTATATGATCTTGGGATTAGTCATTTATCTTCATTCAATTAAATTAAAATATAGTTTCATAACATAATTACAAATCCATCCTTGGTGTCCATATTTCTCGCGTACTTCAGCACTGAAGAAGAGTTGTGTGAGAGAAGCTTAAGCAGACCGGGCTGGCTGACGGTGGGTTTCCTGGCGCGAAATGGATGGTAAAAGCAACTGCTTCCTTCACGATTATAGCTGCTTAATTTTTATGTTCTTGAAGAGGCTGCCTCGAGGCGAAAATTTTGTTTAAAGTTTGATTTTATTTTCTACATAGGATTGATGATGAATTGCATCTTCACACTAGATATAAATTTATTAATCTGAAACGTGTTTTGTATGTGTGTAAAATGTGGACCGTTATATTAAAGGAAAACAGGACGCTGAAGAGAATATTTGAATCCAAGAGGGAGGAACTAAGAGTAGCCTGGGAATTATCGCATTATAAATCTTCAGGGTTTTTGCTCACACCAAACATTATTAGGTTGATGAAATCGAGTAGAATGAGATATGACGTAAAATATGATATTGTTGCTTGTTTCCTAGGTAACGCGACAATAATTCACTTGGTTTTCCAGATTTGAGAGAATATATATTGGACATTCAATTTTACAGTTATACAATTATTTTTTATTTACATAAAATTAGCAATCAGAATTACATTTGATTCTATAAGCTAATTTGCTGTATTATACCCGCGATGTGGAGAGGGCTTATCCAGAGATAAGTCCTCGTTAACCCTCTCTCAGGTCGGCTGGCCAATTCCTTTTCAGTCTTCGTCCATTCTGTGGTTCCGGTAACGGTTGCATTAGTACGTTCTCATGTCCTTCTGTTTTGTTCACGTATCTTGTGCTTTTCCCTTTTATAACTTCCTTCACTAGCGGCACTTTCAGGTCTTCGTGGAGTGTTATATTGGAAACGTACCATGGGGCGTTAGTAATCATACGTAGTACCTTTGACTGACATCTTTGGATTATGGAAATATTGGTTTTGCTGGAACATCCCCATATTGCCACTCCATATACCCAAATTTGATATACAATTATTCACAATCACAATAACTGCTTCGAAGCCAACTGAAGACTGACTACTCTCTTCTAAGGTCAACTACAAACTGAACTCAAAGTCCAAGTCACATTGCGGCTGACGGTCATTCAGTCAGTAAGTCTTGGTGTCGAGCCCCATCTGGGGTTCATGACCAGATATTTATTACTGTATGGCATTTACGGTCTTGTTTTTGTGGGGCGCCCTCTCTGACGAGAGGATGGGTCAGCCTTTTATATATGCTGCTGGCCTTTGCCAATGACTACCCAATGACAAATGTCCATACATACAGTACAGCAAGGGTGGGCAGCCTCTAAGGGCCCGAAGATTTGGACCCAAGCAACATTCAACACGTTCATAAACTGATACTTGCTTATGTACAGTATGGCATAAATGTGAGTTTGATAAAGTTTTACTTTGTTAGTTTTGAGGAACAAATTTTTTTCTTCGGTGTTCTTAGAGAAGTTTCTTATGTTGCAGGAAGTTTTTGAAGGTATTTAATTGGTCCTTGCAACTTCCTTTCACTTGCTTATGACGTTCGATATACGTCACGTCCTGTTCTCGCAAGTCTGTTCCGCTGCTACATGGTCCCGTGGATGTGAGACCTCATGGATTCTCCTGTCTATTCATGTCTCCCCCACTTCTCCGAAAAGTCCTTATTTTCTCTCTCACTACAGGCAATAAAAATTTCGATTACACTGCACTTGTTAATATTTTAGATTTCTTGTGTTAATTTGTGTGAAATGAAATAAAATGTTGTGTCCAGAGAATACGTACCAACATGAGTGTTTCTTTTATTTGGAGTGGAGAGTCTATGCTAAAAATAAAGTAAAGTAAAGCTATCCCTGTACCAGGCCGTGTAGGCCCATAGGGTTGTGAGACGTTGAGGGTCCCACATTTTCTAAACAATCGGCTCAAAGATGGCGGTAAGGTTATCAGCCTTACGCACCGGCCGCGCTTTACTTCCCAGGAAAATTATTTAATTTAATTCCTGGTGCTCATTTCTGTTAGAGGCTGAGTCGAACCCAGGGCCATAGGCGGCTGGAAGGATTAGGTCAATTGAAAAAATCCGATGAACTCATCGGGACTTGAACCCGCGCCCTTCCGGCTTGTAGCATAATGCCTCGAGCAACTACGCTACCGCGTGCCACACGATAAAAGTACAGTCAAAAGTTAATTAAAAACATGATGTAAATGCCTGGATACGTACAGTTAACATATTATTAAATGTAGGGATTACTGAGTGAGTTATAAGACGGGTTTTGGATTGGACGAATAAATTTATTTACTCCTTATACATTTAAGGGAATTACAGACAACACAGCCCACTTATGGTCTCATTTAAAATTGTCTTCAGGGTTACTGGGGTTTGTGGACCTTGTTCATCATCTCGTATTCCAAAAGATACAAAAGAACACAACATTTCGGAAACTGGATCTGTTTCCGTCCTCAGGTGATTGATGGGACACCTGATTGAAGTTATCCCTTTCTAACAGACTCAATAGTGTGTCTCCCACCCCATACCTGAGAAAGGAAAAGGATCCAGTTTCCGAAAATTTGTGTTCATTTATTTCTTTTTAGAATACAAGACTATAGGCAAGATCCGAAAACCCAATAATCCTGAGTCTTGTGCAGCAGCATCTGAACTGTTTAGATAATGTTCCTTATTTTACCAAAGAAATTTTAATGAAGGGATGACTTTCTTCTTTGTAAACTGAGAAGCACCGATCCTGACAATTGAATACTTCTTTTTCCTCTCTTTTGAAATTTGTTTCCCTTTCGCACAAAAATATTCGTCTCTGTCACATCTGAGGTGTTAAATGCGGCCTCCTTGACCTCAGATCTCACTCATGTGTTTATGGCATGCTAACACTTACAGACCATGACACAAATGGATATACAGGTTGTTCAGTTTATTAGCTACGAACGTGAATTAAGTCGAGCTGGCCAAGATTATCTCGGGGACACGTCCGATAACACATCATCATATAATAAAATTCCTGTATATACTGTAAACTTATCGTCACGTGTACTAGTGACTGTAGACGGGGTTTGGATTGGTGAATATATGTATTTACCGCTTACAAGTCTTCACTACCAATAATTATAACACGATTACTGATTTTCCCACTACAAATCACTACACACTAAGTCTTCTCAGTCTACTCTCGCTAGTCTTTACTTGGCAACAGCTTTCAACAACGACTGTTCCTCTGCAGTGTTTTCACTAGACGTTTCCTGGTAACGAATCTTCAGCTTCCGTTGACCGTTAATTAACACTCCACAACTGAAACCTCAACTCCACTGTAGCGCCAGTTGTCTTCAGGATAATTCATCGGCACGGACCACGCAGAAAACAGCCTCTGTTGTTGACGAGTCGTGTTTATCGCGCCGTTGTCTAGCGATAGACGTCCTGTTGTTGCGCATATTAGTTCCAGCGGTAATGTGTTTACCGAGTCGTTACCTAATAAAGGTTCTATACAATTTCCAGTCTCTTTACAGGCATGAAACAACATAAAGTTCAATGGTTTGAAATTTGGAGTTATCTTGATAAATAAGAAATTAACTTACACAGAAATTAAAGTGAACTTGTATTGTATTAATGAAACATCAACTTATATTGTGGTTTCTCTTGTTCAAAGAATATATTGGCAGTAAATTGTGTAATAAATATTATATGGAATACATTATGCAAATGACATGACATTTGAGAGACTAATATGAAGGAGAATTTCGTTAGGAACAGATGCATGAAGGCTGCATTCCCTACCAATCCCATGCGATAAACATAGTTGAAAAGCACAATATATCTTATTCCCTAATGTGGAGTTGTAGAAATATAGTCATTAGTTGTTGGAATCGTGCCCGTTCCATGTGAAGAAAGTCTCTTCGTAATGCAACCTGCAACCAGCAGCTTTTCTTCATATGGAACGAATTTTTTTGCACTTGCATGACGTTCACTTTGTTGAGCACTGCACTGATGATTTCTTTTCCTGCTGTTTTCATTTCAGACGTTCTGCCAGCCTCATTTGATTTGTCCGGCACAGAATCTGCACTCTATCCATATGACCCAGAGCAAGGAAATTTCCGCGACTTATTATTTCCTTCCGCAACAAACTTGTACCCCTACTTTCTGTTCCCATCCAACACGCTGCGCCCCCACCCTTCGCACTCGCTCCCCCACCATCCGGCCACGCACGCAGACACTCATCTGTCAGTAGAAGATATCCCCATAGATTACGATGAACAAGATGGAAAACTCACTTCTTCCTATTCGGGGTCAATTTCAGTTAAGGTGATTTCTTCGGATAATTGGACATCCATTGAAGGCATTGAGTCTCAGTTAGAGAACCCTCTGGTTGGCATTAGAGGTACCAGTCAAAAGGATAATAGCGCCCTAAGGCAGGAACTGCAAGGCATCCCGTCAAATGGGAACAACTCTCTATTTGACGAAGAAGGAGATGGAAGAGGGACTAATATGACTCCAGAGAGCGCAAAGGTGCATTCAAGTATGTATCCCATTGCATAAACATAACCTTGTCAATGTATCTGCTGCCTTCCACTCCATCTGCAAAGCCCCACTGAACCCACCCGCAAACAAATTGCTTGAGGGACCAGAATACATCGTAAATATGATTGATTCTTTTCATAATAAATCTGTGTGTTTGCCTTAAGTCCTTTATTACTAATACTAAATAAAAACGATGCATTGTTCCCCAAGCAATTTGCAGTGTTCTTCGGACGTGACCCGTTCCAGCAACTTACTGCCTTATATAGTGTATATAAGATAAACACCGTCTTAAGTGTAACAATTTTATTGTAGTTCTTTCTTCCTTCTCCTCACTCCACACTACATGTTTCGGCCCTAAACGGCCATCATCAGGTGTGTATTCTCACGTAGCTGTTACACTGCCTGTTAAAATTTAAAATCACCAGTCTTTCTAATTGTATAAACTGTTTGTTAACCTACACGCGTTAATTTTGATTTCTATTTAGCACTTTCTTTTAAAAATTTAATTCAAATTAAAGTATTAATTAATTAGTTACTTAATGAATAGACTCTACACATACCCAATAACAGAAAAAGGAAAACAAATAGAGAAGAACACTATTAAAAACATACTACACAACAACGGATACGACACAAACATAATCAAAAGATCGAATCAGACAAAACGAGAACAAAAATCAAACACAAATGACGACGAACAACAACAAAAAACAAAGTGGGCCATATTTACATATAGTACAAAAGAAGTAAGAAAAATTACAAAACTTTTTAAAGACACGCAGATAAAAGTAGCATTCCGCACACGAAACACAATAGAAAACATACTCAAACAAAAA